TGATTCTGCCAGCATGTCTCTGACAGTAAGCTTTAGAATCACAGCATGTTAGGAGCTTTACAGCATTACCCTCCCAGCTTGCTCTTTCTACCTGCTTTGAGTTTACATTTTTATCTTTTTGCCTGTGATTTTAGTTATATCAGGCTGTGATTGAAAAGTATTGTTTTGACTGTTATGCCACAAGCACCTCCTGCTCTCTATTTGTGTGTCTATAGCAGAAAAGAACCATGACTGTGTCACCATAGCATGAAGTTGTAAAAAATAACCTTGACTCAAACTAGATGTAAGACATAATCTTGACAAGAAGTATAAAGGGACCAAGTTTTGTTTTCTTCTCCAGAAGAAAAAAAAAAGCATAAAAGATCTAAATTAGTAGACATTTGGCACAAAAATGATTCACTAAACAGTGAAGTTATAATGTTATAAAACACAAACAACATGATTTTGAACTTGAAGAAACTCTTTGGCATTGTGGCAAAAAGCATATTATATCATCCTGAGCACAACATTCTTACCATGGTTGTGAAGAATAGCACTGCAGGGTTCTTTTTTCCTTCAGTGGAAGTGGGTAAGCTAGTTGAAGCTGACTGGAAGATAAACGGGGCTAAATATGGGGCAATTTTCAAAGAAAACCTGTTATTGGCTGCAAAAGTTCTTCAGATGACAAAAGGCTTTTGTCCAGCAACAAAGCACCTGTGCACCTGGAGACCTGATAGCCCCTAATTGGCATTAAGTGTGTATGCCAAGGACTATCTTGAAAAACTATGATGTGTATGTACAACATTTCTTTTATGTTTTAGGTAATGTATCATCATTTTAATGCTTGCTTTATTACCCCAAGCTTCCTTGGTGCTCGGGCAAACCTTTGGGATCAAAGCAACAATGTGTACTGGGTTTATAGAAGACAGCCTCTTGTAGAAAGAAATGCCAGTAAAGTTTCAACAGTTGCTTGAAGTAAAATCATTAAAATATTCTACACTGCCGTTATTCTGACTGTTCTATGTCCATCACTGACTATGTGGTTTGGCTCAGGCATAAAACAGTAAAGGTGAAAACAGTATGAAACAAGGTCTCCAGAGGAAATTATCATGCCTGACCTTCCCTCCAACCCAGAATCGTGTCAGATCTAGGGTCAGAAAAAGTGTAGCTAACATCTGTGCTGATTCCACACATTCTTTTCAAAGACTATTTTGAATATTACCTTCAGGTCAACTCTACAGAACATTATTCCCTAAACAAAGTCGCCACAAGAACAGATTTTTGTTTTCCACAGTCTGTATTTTTGACCATCTCAGTTAAACACCACAGACACTGCTTAGAAAAAAAAAAAAAAAAACACACTGTCCTCTCACAAACTGTATTTCTATTTATATAGGATATATAAAATACATTTGTATGCATACTCACACCTATACATATTGTTTGTGTATCCTCATTTGTCATTTGTTGTTACAATTTACATATATAACTAATGTTGAGACGAGGAGAAAATGGTCAAAGCATGTTCTGTTCACCAATAAACTTTGTAATGTTACGTCCCCCTGCTGGGTCTACGAGATATAATGGACCAACATAAATGTAGACAGTGAATGGAGGAATCAAAAGGGCATTTCTGTACAGACTTCAGGGAGAGCTCAGGCTAAAATAACAGACAAAACAACCCTAAAAGAAAAAAAAAAAAAACTTGACTTACCTAACTCCGACTTAAAACAATATATATATATAGGCCTACGAAATAAGCTACCTAACAAACACATAAACAGGAGAAAACTGGGGTTAAACAAAAAGGCAGTTCTCCCGGACCGAAGCCATCTGAACACGTTTACATAGCAACAGATCCAGAAAACGGCCCCCAATGTTAGAGGCGGAGCCTAAAACAGAGTAACGCATTACTTTAGTGCCAAAACAAAATGATATCTATCTTAGGAATATAACAGCACATACAGATGATTTTAAATCAGAATTAAGCACTTTTTTTTTTTATTTTGTTTAGCTGCAATTGAATATTGCATTGTTTCTAATAATACTGCACTTCTTCTTGAATCAAGGCTTAGGGTGCAGGACACATCAGCTTAAAAGGATGTAAAAGTTGTTTTTTGTTTTGTAGCCAGAGGCCATGAGGAACATAATGATAAAGAAACGAGAACTACTGTTACCGTTTATATTGTGCTCAGCGTAAAGGTTCTATAAAATAAAACCATTCTTTCCTAGAAAAGTAAAGTGCTGTCACCCTTTGCCATCAAAAGCCCCATTTTAAGCCCAGAGTCCTACTCAAAGTGCTTTTAGTGGCACCTGACAAAGGAAGGTTCAGCTTTCACTGGAGAGTCAAAGTGTAAAGTAGTTTCATGTATATTGTTTTTCCAGCTCTCTGAATAGGACGACAAATGGATTCTGGCTTTCTTCTCATAATGAAATTAAATATCTGGGTCTGTGTTAAATGCTAACTCTATGGGTATATAAGTCATGTCTGAAATATGTTCAGATGTTTTGTTTATTTTAACCTCATGAAAGCCTCAGTAAGAAACCATAAAGAACTCTGCAATGGCTGCTTCTCTTCTTGCTATGTGCTTCTGCAATTGTTGTTTCTTTTTGTACATTGTGAGTAGGAGTTTAAATTGATGTCAGTTATATAAATTGTAATGATCGCACCTGTGTTATCTTTACCAGATTCCTTCCTTCTTCTTTGCTTCATTTACATGCCTCTCTCCTTCCTATTTACTCTCAACTCCTGGAAGATCATTTATTTGATATTTGTATACATTGTATTTTTTTCTTTTATATCCATTACTCATCTGCAATAAAAAAAATCGTTTTTGTTTTCACTCAGTGACATGCAGCAGCAATAATGATCAGTAATGGGTGTAAGATTTGAAGTCCTGCATGACAGGTGCATTGCACTGTGGTATAGAAAGTGTAGGATTTGGGATTTTTTTAGGATTTTGCTGTGTTGCGCAGCATGCTCTTTTTTGAGAAAGTATTTTGCCGCTAAAAAATTTCTCCATTTTTATTATCATAATAATAATAATATTATTATTATTATTATTAGCACTTAAACATTTCTGATAGTTACATTTTGACATCAAAAATAAACCAATAATAAGATAAATACAAATGCAAATTTTTTTTTCTTCCATAAAGAGGAAAAGCTGTTTAAAGTAGCCACTTGCCACTATTTGAAGAAGTAAACCCCCAAACTAAAGACACATCCTTAGCAACAACCTTTCATGTCTTTGACATCAGTGTAGAGGATGCATATTCAGTCTATTTGAGAGTTTTTGAAGCATGAACAGCTCAGTGAACAGTCTAGGATCATGCCAAACCATCTCAGTTGAATTTACTTTTGATTTTCACTTGACCAGTTGAAATGGTTTGTTTTGACAAAATGATGTCTAAACATTCTCTTTCTGGATTTTCTGAGCAAAATGCATAGTTTATTAGGCAGAAATGCTCTGGTCCGATACCTGGATTCGATATTCGCTTCAATATTGCTGCATCAGTTATTGATGATTTGATAGGAGATGTTTTAGATCAACTTAAGTGCACTTTACATGAAACTGTTACGTCTTTAGTTTTGCACCTAATGTCCATCTGCTTTTGTTAATAATATATAGGGTATATTTATTTTATTTATTATTTATTTTATTTTATTTTATGTTTTTTGATTTGTTACATTTCGTAACAATATTTAGGTCAAGTTTAAAGTCTTCCCTCAGAATGCAAGGTATACTGATCATTTATTGTCGGTTGGATCAGATATTGGTTGGTACTTAACCAGGTAAATTTGTCAGTTTGGATCAGCAAAAAACTGGAATGGTGCATCTCTATTAGATTACAGCCAGTAATCCAGGTTCTAAAGCAGCCCCATACCATCATATATTGGTATGATGATCACGTAGAATATTTTTATTCAAAAAACAAAATAATATACAAAATAGATAAACATTTCTATATTTATGGTCAGGGGAGGTCTTAGCTTTTTTCAAACAGGGCCAGTTTTTTTCTTTTTCTTTTTCTGAATGGTTGTCCTCTATTTGTGAAAATCAAATATAAAACTAACTTTTGTGTTTTTATTTTGGTAGTTTTTGCCTGGTGTTATTTTTTATTGATGTATCTTTTTAAGTCTAAAACTTTTCACTTAAATAAAACTGCAGAAACAACTGTATCTGTAACAAACACATTTTCACAGCACGTTATATGTCAGACGCAATGCACTCCATTTGGAAAATTCATGTTAGATGTCACTTGAGATATGATATCCAGGGCTGTTGCTTTTATGCATTAAAAATCTTTTAATTCAATATATCAAGGGTTTTCCCATTGGGGACCATGGCATATTGCACTAGTGTAAATCAATATCATTGCGTGACCACAAACAAACATACATGGAGGCACACTTGCCATTTTCCATCACATTTGGTGTGCACATAAAGTAAACACAGGCAGGCAGGTGGAAAATGTGAGAAATTGATTTTCAATGTGTGCAGTGAACTTTTACCTATAGAAATGATTCCCTTTTATCAGTGAGAAATGAAAAGGAAATGGAAAGTTATTACATTCTACATTGCTATAGAGCACAGATCATCCAGGTACGTCTAAACAAATTAGTGTGGAAGATCACAAATGTTCATTTTGCAGCACCTTGCAAAAGTATTCATAATCCTTCGTCTTCTTTAATTTTCATCCTTCACGAACAAAACTTTCATTCTATGCAGCACTAATCACAAAGCTTATGACTGTTCAATAAATGTAAAATAGCACATACTGTATATCCATTATGAGCTAAAAGGGGAATGGTCATTTGTAATTGCTCAGTAGTTTAAGCAGATCTCATGAAAAACCTCAGACATCTGAGCATCTGCGTGATTAAAAATAAAGGTAGTTAGAAAAAACAACAAAAAAAATATTTTTTTTTATGATTCAAACTTGTTGTAAAAAAAACTTAAAGTCAACAGTGCAAAGAACTCTGCATGTAAAGTTATTTTCTTTTGTTATGTTACCAGAACAAGACGAATCCCCTTAATGTGACGCCTCCTATTCAAGCTGTGGACCAGGATAGAAACATACAACCTCCCTCTGACAGACCTGGGATCCTTTACTCCATCCTTATTGGTAGGTTCTACTTTTTTCAGCTCAGATTTGTTTGGCAGAAGGTACCACAACAGAGTTGTGTGTTTTTAACTTCTAATATCTTCTGTAAAAGTAGTCAATGGGAGGGAGTGAGCATTCATTAACTTTTTGTTTAACATTTTTTTTTCTTTTATAAAGACAGCTTTAATTACAAAAACAGAAGCAAATTCCACCTGAGGCCTGTACCATGATGCAGGATTACCGATTAGCTAGATAATTACAGGTTCAACTCAGACTTGCCAGTACCACTAAGCTGGATTCATTCTCAACTAGGCTAGTTACCATGCTAACATATGTTGAACGGCAAACCTGCTTAGGTTAGGTTACAGGTTTGATCTGAATCCTTGAGAACACTCCACCCCACAGTCAATCAGCTGGAAAGAAAAATGTTGATCATGAAGATCGAAAAGCAGTTAAAACTAAATATTTTCTTGACAAGTTACATGTTTTTATTTTTCTAATGTTATTTTTAATAATTTTTATTTTCTTCCTTTTTCCCATACCAAGTTTTTACTATTATGTATTTGTTTCCTCCTGTATAGTGTCCTTATATGCCGCTGGCATTCACTTTTTTGTTGTTATTATTTTTCTATGTTATCTACTTTTATTAATCTGAACCACTCTAAAATGGGACATTATTTCAATTTGTGGGGCACAGAGACAGAAGTGAAAAAAAATATTGGAGCGGAAATTAAAAAGTCTGCTCTATTGATGTGACCCTGGCTTTACAAAAAATGTAACCAACTGATAAAAAAAAAACAAAAAAAAAACCTGCTACTATTGTGTAAGGGGTCCCAGATAATTCCAACACAGTGTTAGAAAATGACAAAAGAAATTAGCTGCTAATTTGCTAATCCTTCAATTTATGATGTACAGTCAATTCATTCTAGCTATACTTTTCTCAATTATTGAAGATTCAAGATTTAAATAAGTTGCTGTTGTTCAATTTCATGTAATTTTGACTTAGGAAAAGAGCTTTTATGAAGTTTTCTGAGCTTTTTGAAAGTCAGACAGTTATATATATGTATAATCGATGAAAACAATTAATTGCATTTTCTGTTTATGAAGATTGCATTTTTGGAATATCTGGATTTTATTTTCACCAATGCACTTCTTGGGCTTGCACAGCTCAGGGTGACATCAGTTCATAATTTTTTGTTCTTAGATATGAATCCAAAAATAATAAGCTAGGTGACTGTATAGCATAAGTAGCTGCGAATATTTGATTTGTTATATTTCCAATGTGAAACATTTTATTAAAGCATTTTCTTATCTTGGATTGGGTACTTTAAATTAGGGTCATCTCCAAACGGGAACGATAAAAATAAAGCTAGTTCTTGAAAGTAATGTATGTAATTTTTGATTGATATAAGGAAGCAAAGGGGGGTGCATTAATTAATTAGATTTGGTAGAAAAAAACATAAAAAATTAGATTTTTAAGCCACATTGTCCAACCCTACCTGATGTTAATCTTGCATAACATTCACATGCTCCCAGCACACAGGGTTTGTCAATTGTGGGTTAAAATGTTAAGCTAGTTTGTGTATGTGTCAGTTAGTCTTTATCTGAATTTAAAGAGAAAGATATATTTTTTAGTAAAATTTCAAAAAGAATTTAGAAATTATTAGATCATGCACGTATGGTAGCATTCGGTGAAAATACAACCTGTTTTCTGTGTTGTGGTGGTCAATAAAATAATGCATTTGTAATAACGGAAATAACCAAGATTACAAAACTAAAAGTATAACTATAGTTACTATTGTCACATATATAATGCTGATGTAATAATTGCAAAATATTGGACACTGTCACTGTAACTATAGTTGTTGTTACACATTAGCTAGACCCCTTCCTTTCCTCTCTCCTCATATTGGTTATGGCTCCAACCCTTACAATTATTACCCGGTTTAGAGTTTATATGAAAGCTAATAAACTGGATGAACAGTATATGGCTGGCTTCCCAACCGCCTGCTTCCTGAATTCCTACTTTTTCAGTATATAAGTAAGGCAGTCAGGTAGTCCATGACCATGTAGTTCTAATCCATATATCCAGGTATCGGCATCTCCTATTCTCATCCAACTACACTTGTTTAAACCATTTTATTTTGGTAGCTAGTAATAGGCTCTAAAGACATTGTTTTAAAATAAGTTTTGCCACAGGCTAGGACTGGTTGATATGACCTAAAATTCAATATCTGACATTTTCCCCTCTGATTGGCAACACTTCAATGTCCAGGTCTAGCAACGTCCCATATGTCTCAGATTAGCACAGACTCTCAAACTGCTTGGCAGCTTGAACCCAGAACCAAAGCTATAGCTTGGTATATGAATCAACATGATCAGCTCAAACGGTTCTGAACAACATCCCTGGAACAATGTTGTGATATTCACTGACCAGTTCAAAGTCGGTATAGTTTTTCTAAGGAAACTGAGGATCAGCAACCCAGAACTGATTCTAAACCACAGGAAATTGAGCAACTGACTTAGCCTTGCTAGTTACATGGTAGTCCATGCTTCTCCCCTGGCAATGCTCCTCGGTCTGCCTACAAGCAAAATTGGTCATCTACACTTACCAGTTACTCCTAATCCCTCAAGGCCTTAGGATGTTGATACTTTACAATTTAATAAAAAGCTTCTAACTATGATTGGTGTGAAATAAGAATTGAGCTCACCTCATTTGACACTGTGTTAATATTATTTAGAATATAAAAATCTTTCTGTGCAGTACCTTTGACAGTTTTCACCACCTTTAATAAAGCCGTAAATAACAGCCTAAAAATAAATTATTTTTATGAAGACATGGCCACCCTAAGATGCCATCTCTTCTCCCAGCCCACTCGCAGTGAGCTTTCATGTTAAGACGAGATGCTATTTTCATGTTGCCATTTATTGACCTTTCAAGATCATCACACAGCTGCATTACTTGAAAGAGACGACTGTCTGTCCTATTTTGAAGATTGTTGAGGATCTTTGAACCTCTGGACCAGGTTATATTAGGAAAACAGTAAGTTTCATAAAAGAATGGAACTTTGCAGACAATCTGATTAAATTAACAAACACACACATACAGCCCCATACATGCATGCATGCATACATACATACATACATACATACATACATACATACATACATACATACATACATACATACATACATACATACATACATACATNTACATACATACATACATACATACATACATACATACATACATACATACATACATACATACATACATACATACATACATACATACAGTACATGCAAATCAGAACATAACATACATACATACATTTGTGTGTGTTTGCTATTTCTCTAACATTTAAGGTAGTACAATGTAACGAAAGCATGGTACGCGATAATAGAGGTGAATTTGTCTTATCATTTCACTTTTAATGTTTTTTTTTGCCTTAGATGCACAGCAAACAATGACCCATTATAACAAGCTGTCTTTGAAGTTACTGGACAAAATTTAAGATCAGATTGTTCTATCTTCTACAGCTTTGCTTTTGAAAATGTCGCATTTAGAGAATGCTATTTTTGGTTATGACACGACCATTTAACAATCTTTTTAGTCCAAGTAATGTCACACCTGCACAAACTCTCTATAGTCTGTTATTATAACAAGGCCTACTTTGTGGCCACATTAACCAAAACATGAGTGTTTTGCTCAAAACAGGTGCAAAACATCTATTTGCAAACTTGTTAGCAGCTTTGAGCTTGCTAAAATTTTCAATTTTTTTAACTTTTTTTTGTCTAACTGCAAACCTACAATAAATTTAAGTTTGTCTGACAAACATGAACTGTCCTGGTTGTAGTTATCTGACATATGCTTTATTTGAACATTTTGCTAACATTTTGTGGCAGAGATAAGAAAGATTCAAAAGAATCTGACCGTGCAAGTCTATCAGTCACGGGAAGGGAGCAAAGATGTCACTAAAAGATACACATTGCAGCAAATTAAATGAAATTCTGGTCAGCCTGAATAATTAACAGTTTATTAGCAAAAAAGCAAAACAAATGTTATAACTTATCCAGGTTGTTCAAAGAGTTAGATAGAGATGGCTGTGTGTAGTAACTATCTTATGTACTGTAATGGTTGGTTTCTATTTTTAATTTTTTTGTACTCGTAAAACTTTTACATTTTAGATCCAACAGACACATAGACCAAAACAGAAAGGGAAATGACTAAAAGGAAAGGAAGAGAGGTGAGGAAAATGGCTTAAATGATGATAATTTCCTAAGAATAAAGGAGATAAAAAGGGATAAAAGGAATATAAGATAACATCCAATGAGCCTGCTCCTTCAGCTCCAGAGAGAGACATTGAAAAAGAATAACACAACAAAAAGTTTTGCAGGTATAAAGTGGTCAGTATTACTTTGAATTTGAGGAAGCTTCTTTCTGAAAACACTCCGTTATATAACAATTGACATGTCTTTTTGTTTTGTTTTTTTGCTTAAAGCCAAACTTTTAGTAGACATCTGGAGATTTACAATCTCTAATGGGGAACAAATTAGCAGCACCATCTTCTAATTTGGTTGAAGACAGGTATTTTTGAAATGATACATTTCCAGGGCCATGGTGAAACATAAAATATTTAAGGTGAGAAATCAAGAAAGAGATTTAGGTAAGGCGTGATAAGTTTGGCTGTGGACAGGAGAGGAAGCACTTGTTCCGAAACTTAAATTAAATTCAATGTGGTCACTTCATTGGCTCTGCCAAGACTTCCATCTATCTGATCATCCTGCTGCTTGAAGCTTGTGCTCTTGTTAAATCCTGATGATGCATTTCTTATTTTGTTTGGCTAGTGCATCCTCTAGTTTCTTCCCGTATGCCTCTCTGCTCTTTCTAATCTTGTCTTATTTTAGTTGTTTTGTATCCTCCCCGACACTTCCCTGTTTTCCCTGCTTCAGCTTGCATTGTTCTTTCATTTTATTTAGTGGTTCCTTCAAATCACTGGTGGTAGAGAGTTTGTTATTGGGAAAACATTGCACTTTTTGTAGTAGAAAAGGTATTATTTTCCACATAGAAGATTGAATATTCAGCCACATACTCAGGTATGGCATCAATGAGTTATGGCATTTTGTTGGAATAGTGCAATCCATTCTGTAGCCTCAAAGCTATTCATTAGGGCTTCTTCAGCTTTCTGTCACAATTTTAATAGTTGTTTTTATAACAGGTTGCCGATGAAGAGAGTCGTATGAATTCTTGACATTTGCTTAAAACAAAATGTATGTTTTCTTTCCTCCTGTTGAGCAGCTGCTTCAGAGCTGACACTTCACAGTAGCATGTGTTGGATTGCAATCTCTTTTTTTATTCCTGCTTGTGTCGATCATCTTTGAAACGTCTGCCTGCTCATACGATCAGAAAATTGGGAAAGGAAATATTGAAGGATATCAACCTACTTTCTCATCTCAGTGAAATACATAATACCTTAGTCCCAATAATTGGACTGGGTTCCTGTTAGTGCTAAGAGGTAATCTATTTTATTTGCCAAACATCTCACATTGCCCATTATGAATGATAGAGGAAGAGTTTTGAATGTCCTTCTTCTCTCTCTCCTCTTTACTCCTGTTTTACTTATATGACCTGAGATCAGTGCTTTAGGAGAAAATGAAACAATGATGCAGACCTAAATGCCATAAAAATGAGTTGCATTACAGTTTGCAGCAGTAAAATAAATGTCTTCTCAGTATTAGGCATGGGTTCAACAAGCTCATGCCTCTTAAACTGTATTATTTTACCCTCGTCAGTGCTCCATCCACACGTGTCACATTCTGTTTTTAGGGAAACAAGTACTTGGGAGGGACAAAAAAATTAAGCTTGTGATAAATCACAATTGCAGTAATCATAATAATGACATACTTAACATAAACTGTGTAGAGCACATTATTAGACGTAAGCATGGCAAAAAATATTTGTCCAAAAAAAAGATTGACCTCTCTCCATTGCACTCCACCCCCCACCCCACTCCCTGTATTAGCTCGGTAAGAAATTAATTAATGAAAAAGCTATACTACAGGTGGTACTTTAACAGAGTCATTACTGATTAATCAAAAACAGCTTGGTAATAGGAATGTTGAAAAAAAAATCACAATTAGGTTTTGTCAAAGTTAATGGGGAAATGCATATTAATACCACGTCTTTATGTTTTTTGGAAATGCATATACTTCTGTGCTTAAACTACACTGCAGTTTGACCATTACCTTGTTTAAGCTGTTTCTATCTATTTTCTATCTATTTTCTTAAAAATTCAGAATTCAGCTCCTCTTTGTCACACCTCCTGTCCAACTCTTCTTGGAGTACTCAAAGTGAGGAGGAGAAACAAAAACGACATTTGGATTTTTTGTTAATGTTAAAAAAAACATGATTTTAAATGCAGTATTTCACAACCTAAGCAACACTTGAATGAAAAAACATGAATAAGGATTCCCCATTCAGCCTTCAAAAAGAAAACGATGTAGAGATTTAATATTAGATATAAATTCTGGCTTACATCATGAACTGCCCTGTGCAGTAACAAGTAATATGCAGCATGTTAAGATAATTGTTTGAAGGATGACTGTAAATTTGAGTCCTTTTTGGAGCAGCCAGGTCAGCATCATTGGTATGATAATTTTTCTCAATTTTTTCACTCATCAAACTCCAACAGCCACATGAATGCAAGCATTTTTGGATTTCTATTGACACTATTTCTTTTAAACAAATTGGCTACAAGCTATGAACTGAAATTGTAAAAAGTGCATTATTGAATTCCATCTGACTTCCCCGACTTCACCTACTACAACTTTTACAACTACTTACTGAATCGGCAATCTTACTGTTCAGGAAAACACTGGAGGCTACTAAAAGTTTAGATGCCTACAGCCATTTTGTGTTTACTAGTAAACCTAGTACATCTTTACAAGTAAAGATTGACAGCCTACTAAGCTTATAATACATTGTGGGAAACCCTGCATGTCTGTTTATAGATTAACATTTTGATTTTCAAAATAAGCAGAATATCAACATAGTTTTGCACACATTTATACTATAGCAAGTATTTCCAAAGAAAATGTCCTTCTGCCAAAGGATGCTGAATGCTTTAAGTAAAGGTGTTTAAAAAAGATATTTTTTTTTCAACTGTGCAGACCATTGTAGCGCTGTTATTGTATTACATTTATCTCCTGCCAAATGAATTTGGGGATTTTTCTGTTTTGTTTCATGGGTAAAATGAAAAAGGCAATTTTTTTTTTTTTTTTTAAGGAAAAGTCCAGTCAGTAAGGACTGATCAATGGATCATTATCTATACCTAAAACTAATATGTTTGCAGTAATTTAACAAATTTAGCATTAATCAGTAAAAATAATACAAATAATACTTTTTGCCGTGATCACTGAGTCTAGGAACGGCCATTTTTGCCCAAATATAGTAGCACCTCACTCCTGACATCTTCCGGCAGTGACGTCATGGTGCGGTTTACAAGCAAAATCAATGGGAACTATTACACACACATCTGTAATCAACAACAATTTTTCTTTAGATTCCGAGAGGACTTCACCAGCAAAATTCACAAGAACTATAGTTAAAATGACAATGACCTTGTGCAGGGCAGTTTGACGTTGCAATACTCGGGCAAAATTGAAAAAAAAGAGTTATTTTACCTTTACGATTTATTATCCACCACGGGTTCGTCGTTGGATTGTCAATTTGAAGAGGGACAATTTGCCATTGAACTTCTGGCCAGAGAAAAAACATGTCATATCTAGCCAATATTTCGAACAAGACTGGGAATGGGACTTGCTCAACAGCCAATACCGCACCGTGACGTCACAAACTGGTAGGTGGCAGTAGTGTTCTTTGAAGAACATGGATGCCTCCAATAAAGCACATTCAAATGAGAATTACTTTTAATAAAAAAAAACCTTATCATTTATCAAACAGTATGTTATAATTTTATATTTAAAGTAGTTTAGGGATTTTGAATTCTTAATATGACCGGACTTTTCCTTTAGATTATTCATCATGGTCTGTTTTTACATTTTGCAAGGCTGGTCCCTTACCAGGCTGTGTTTAAGTTCCAATGTATTATAATGCAAGATAAATTCTGTTCTGTTTGCAGACTAACACTTGGAGCCTTATGTTTTAAGAGTTAATCCAGTTTTTTTGCTTTAAAAATCTGCATTCAACTTTGTCTTTTAATTATATATTCTTAAGTTGTTTAAAATGTATAAATATGAAAAGAAAAAATGACAGTTGTATAAAATGTGCATTTCTGTATCTGTGTGTACTCAACCTGATCATCTGTACAGTAGATAATGTACCTTGTACACATAACTTTCAAACCAAGGCAGTTAGAATAATTTCATACACTATAGTGTACTACTTTTGCCAGAAGTCTATAAACCTCTGACTTCACGTTAAATGTTTAGCTTTACATTTTGTTCTACATGTGTTTCGTCAGAGAGAAGGAAAACACCACAAATCTGAGAAAAAAAGAAAAAAAAAAAACACATCAATGTTTGCTAAAAAAAGAAGTATCATATTTTTGGAGATGCACAGGAGGCACATAATTATGCACATGTGGCCAAGTTGCCTCTCTCCTTATGAGAACTTGATTTCCCCACAGAACAATGCAGCATTTTAAGCACCATTTATGAATGTGAGCTGTGAGGGCTCATCCGTTCCCTTCGAACGCTAAGATGAGAAAACCAGGAGTATTAGTCATGCCTCCCAATCCTTTTTTCACAGTCTACCATGACACACCAAACATTCATATATTTTCTTTAACTCTCTCTCCTTCTCACTCAGTGATGTTTTCCTATGTGCTGATTTTTATTTGCTCTTTTCTTTAGGCAAACCAACGTCCTATGCAGAATATTTCAGCTTAAACAAAACCACAGCAGAACTCATGCTGCTTAAACCCATTGACAGGGAGCTCTACCGCAGGTTTGATCTGGTTATCAAGGTAAGAAAAACCTGAAAATTCACACAATGCATTTTTTTTTATCCTTTCCAAGACAGAGTATTCTTGACTTTACCAGACAGATATTGATGCCTAGTAATACCAAAAATTACTGAAGCTTTTGATTGAAAAGCTTATATAAGTACAATTTCCCAATTAGATAATATATTTGATAAAAAAGGGAATCTGTCATGAAAAATAGGGAAGATGTATTTGGATAGGACATTTATTGTGAACACTTCTAGGGGCGTAATCATTAAAGATTCCAGAATATTTTTTCAAATTTCACTTAGTGGGCAGGAGTCAGAATATGCTTTATTGCCAAGTAGTGTTTTACATGTAAAATGAATTTGTTGTGGTGATTGGGTGCTACACAAAGACAAGGGAACATGAGGCTTAGGCATAAATTCAGCTTAAATACTCTTACCCTGCTCCAGCCTACTGGCACAGCTCCACACCCCCGCCTCAGCCAATCATCATTCCAGCCTTTTTATTGTCATTACACTGTCACAAGTACAGAGCAACGAAATGAACCCTCTGCATATAAGCCATCCCCTTTCGGAACAGACTCAAGGCTCTACATTTAAACCTTTAAAGCCGAGGATGCTATTACTTTCCAACTGAACTCCAATCCTCCTACACCACTTCAATAACTTCAAACCACTGACCCGTCTATGGCTACCCTCACTTGACTACCCTCGTGGGAGTAAAGAAATATTTAACCTATATCTACGGTACCTGCTCATGCAGATCTACAGTACTACATTAAGCACCAATGTCTTCTGCTGGGGTCTAAACGCCAAAGAGATACAATATATATTGTTTTATGTCCCTAAAACTTTCTTATCACTGTTTTTCCAATGTATGAGTCTCTCCAAGTAGGAATACAGTTGACTTAAATAGATACAGGAGTAAAACACCTTTTAAAAAAAGCAAGATGTTTATGAAGAGCACCACATAAGTCATTGAAATAGCTACAACAGTATTGTATTAACTGGACCGAATATGGAGACTGAATGCTTCAGCCAACATAAATCATGGCCAAGTTAGTGTCATGACTCAGAACAGAAGGACCCTGTAATTCAAGGCGGGAGAGACAGTGGGATAACTCAAAGCGTTTATTAAAAACAGAGGTGGGCTATTGATCCGCGGTAGCAGCGGCTAGGGAAGGGCACCTCCCATCACTGGAAACTCTGGTTGGGGAAAAACAAGTTTGCGACCATTATTATCTGACGGAGGATGATTAACCATGTGAGTCACTAAACTGGTTTAATACTTCAGCCCATCATCAGAGAACAAGGTAGGATCCAACCGAAGGGCTGCCAAAAAGATATGGCAGGCGCCGCCCAGAGTGTTCCAGATGCTGCATCCCCAGAGAACATGCAGGAGTCAGTGCCCGGGCAGGGAAACAGAACAGGAAGGCTTGGAGGTCCAGTAGTCAGTAGCCTGGTCAGGGATACCAATCAGAAAAGGAACAGGCTGGTCCAGAGTTCCAGGAGTCCACAGACAGTTCAGGCAGAACTTTCAGACGGGAACAGACACGCTCAGTGGATGAGAGGCAGGTCAGGATCATCAAATCAGAAAAACAAAGGAACACTAAAAACTCTCTCTCCCCTGGCCCCTGAGAACAAGCTCTAGAACAAGAGTAATAATCTCCCCCCGATGGCTGGGACTGAGCCATATAAATAGGAGATGGAGCAGGTGGATTAGATGAGCAGTAAAGAGCAACTGGGCAGATTTGGACAGGTGAATCAGTGAGGCCAGCCATCAGTGCCAACATCATGACAGTTGGTGGCCATGACAGTTAGTGGTCAGTGGTTTTGAAAGTGCAATGAATGAAAGCCACTAACCTTCTCAGAAGCTGAGATCTTGCACTGGCTCTGATGATTGATCCCAGATGCTTGATGTATGATTGAGATCAATCAATGACTGATCCAAATCTTGACTGCTCTAGACAGGGCTAAAGTTAGTGGGTGAGTTGTCCAGGGGTCATGCACAAAGAAGCAGTCCACAAAGCAGAAGATTTTAAATTTGGTTCCAAAAGTTTCTCTCAATTTAGACATGATAATCGGTTGGTAAATCAATTATGCACAGGCTATTTGAGAATGTGTTGCTCGTGTTTATGCACAAAACTATATAACACGCATATGAATGTGAATTTAAAACCAATAGTTTTATTTCGCATAAGCAAAAAGTAAAGAAAGACAGGAGAATCACAATAGCGCTGCAATAACGAACATATAACAGCACCTCAGAAATTTTTCCAGATGTATATCATACATAATTTTAGAAATCATAATAGTAATCGTTGTAGTGGCAGCTAATACGTATTTAACCTTATACATATAATGGTCTCATACTAGCTATATAATTTGAAACACAGATCAGCAAAAGCTGAGTAGAGAGGGACAGTGCTATGGCTGCCCAGTAAAAAAAAGTTAAAAAAGTATTAACTTCTGAATCAGTTCTGCTCTGTTTGTACTTATGAGAGCAGACATTTCTGATAAGAACAAAACAGCAACAAAAAAACAACGAGCTGGGCTGTGTGCATGTTAGATGCTTTCAAAGCCTGTGCTGGATTATGTGTTGTGCCGAATGACAGTTTGCCATATTTTTTTTTTTCTTAAAGGACACAGACATTTGATTGAACATATATACTCAAATAGTGCAAAGATTCACTGTATATCCAATAATTACACTTCATAGACAGAACACCCTCATTGCCAGCCTGAAATTAAGAAAAATGACCTAATGTTCATGTTGTGGTTTCCATTGAAAGCATTTTACTGCGTTTTGTTTTCCAAAGTGTGACTTAAGGCAACAAAACATTTTTTGCCCTAGGTCACACCTAAATGCTAGGATTGTTTGTCATATAATTTGAGCATACATCAGTCTATAAACATGACTCCCAGAGAAGCAGTGGGTTAACTGTTTTCCCACAAATAATTTCGGAGGGCAAATTATACTTATAAAAGCTTTATTAGTATATAGTTCAAATTTACACCATTCTACATATTTGTCTTTGCTCCCTGCATATATTTTTAATACGTAATAGGTATATTCGATATATTCTTATTTGTTCCTGATGTTTAAAAAGCTTTCTAAAGCCAAAAGACCGTAGCATAGAATTGTAAACATTAAAAAGTTGTCCAGCGGTGCCAGCTATTTCAAGTGTGTGTGTGTGTGTGGGCGGGTGTGTGTGTGTGTGTGTGTGTGTGTGTGTGTGTGTGGGGGGGGGGGGGGGGGGGGCTTGTTTAAATGTTCTAAACAAATAACAGTTATCTTGTGGGCATTAAGCCCAGGGTGAAGTGAAATTACTCCTGCTGAATAATGTCAGAAGGGTTATCTTGTGTAGGCATAAATTGTAGAATGATGTCGTTAAACAGCAAATGGTGCTTACGCCTTTGCTGTAAACCACTGTATCCATGCAGACATGGAAATTAATTGACTAGATCTGGATCATAAAAGTTATTTTCTGAAATGAGCAATTTTCAACATTTAGGTTCCTAGCTATTAAGTCATCTTGTTTTTGTTGCTGTTTTAGTAAAAGGGATTATGAAAACTGTTCCACTGATAGAAGGTGAGAAGGGAAGGCTTGATATCAAACATAGTTTGTTGGAATTGGTCTGATCATATTTATCATATAAATTTTCCTTACATCAGTAAAAAAATCAGCAAAGTAATTCTTCCGACAGAGAGCATTGTTGCCATTAGAAAGGATATTGAATTGTGTTGTATTGTAACTATATAAGAGGACTAAGAACGAGGGATCCAAGACCATTTCTCAGGTTCATAATCCTCCCAGTTGACAAGATAATGAAAGCCCCTTCCTCAGGGATGTAAAATGTAAATCCTTTATTGTCCCAAAAAGGGGAAATTCACTTTCTGCATTTTAACCCATCCCCTAGGGGAGCAATGGGCTGCCATTGTGTGGCGCCCTGGGAGCAGTGTAGGATTAAGGGTCTTGCTCAGAGAACCAGAGTGCAGACTCTTGGATTGAACCGGGTGCTTGCAACCTTCTCAGAGCACACCCTTAACATTAAATAAATTAAAACATCGAATGAAAACTGCTTATATTTAATTTGGCTTATTTCCGGGTATCTCTGTATAATATTGATTTTTTTTTTATAATCTGAAACATTTTAATACATCCATAAACTAACACTTTGTTAATTTTAATCATATTTATTTATTTTTCGCTGTGTTCTTTTGCCTATTGCTGCCTTGAAGATTGAATTCCTTTTTATCATCAGCATTCCAGTAGAAGTGTCAATGTTTTGCATTGCTGAGTAGTATTTAAAAATTTCATAATTCCCTCCTACTCAACTAAAGGCCTAGTTCCAGGTCAGGAAAAATGCCAAAACATGATGCTTCTAAACCATCATGCAGTGTATGTATAGTTGAGCTCTCAGAGGGGAGTCCAAATGTTTGTTGTTGTTTTTTTTTTTTTGCTTTTGCTGCTTTTTTGTTCTTTTTTTATTAGCTGGACTAGAATTTTTCATTAAACAAAAAATGTAGTCTTGTCATCCTATTCCAAGGTTCAGACAGATGAAGGCTACAGCACTGTATGATAGCTGTATTCACTTTGCCCTACTGTACGTTAGATATAAGTCTTTGAAATTCTTTTTGTACCCCACTACTCGCTTGTTTTTTTGGCAAGGAGATCCCGCAGATTCTTTTGGAGCTCTCTGCAGAACACTTTGTGACTTTTGATGCGAACGTGACTATTACATGTCAGGTAAAAGCCCCCCAAAAAAGGCTAAATTACAAAAAAATGTATTTTTAATGGCAACATGCTTGTTCTGACTCTTATTTAACATAACAAATGTGATGATTTATTCTGAACGCAGTCACATTCTCAATTATAAAATACTGTGCACACAGACACATCCACATTATTTTTGCTGCTCCTAAAATATTTAAATTTGTTTCTCAGTTGTATTGTACAAAGTATTGTTCCATTTAAATGTGTAAAAGGCTTTTACATCACAAAAGCCATCATTTGAACCAGCATGTGTGCAATATTTATATGCACTGTATACAATCACAATTATTTTCTATTTTCTACTAACAGCATGGCATTTCCCCTCTAAGGTTAGATTGTGAAAATGTTTTAAGAAAGGTTTAATCTAAACATATGATGCAACATTGCAAGTTTTAATTTTTATTTTTATTTTATTTTAGATATATAGGTATTTAAGTTTTGAGTGCCTCTTTGTAAGGATTCATGCAAGAATGTAAATTCAGACAGAAAGATAAATGATGTTCTGATTTTTTTTGGATGGTGAGCTTTGCCTTTTTAGACTGGTTCTAGGAATACAAATTGGACCAACAAAATCCCAAAAGACAATATTTCCTGATTTATGTATTGGCAGTAACTGTGTCAGATATTATTTATAATGACAAAACAAGGTAAATGTTTTATCATCCATAAGTAGAAAGAATCTATAATTAGTGCTGTTCTTTAGGGCATAGGACTTTGAATCCTGAGTTTGTGAGTTCGATCCCCCACGCCCACAGACTGCCACTCTGGCTCCCTGAGCAAGACCCTTAGCCACACGCTGCTCCCCGGGCGCCGCACAATGGCAGCCCACTGCTCCCCAAGGGGATGGGTTAAATGCAGAGCAGACATGGGCAATGTGGAGTCAACAAGTCATCTCCATGTCATGTATTGGTTCTACCCAGCCAATTAACCAGGTGAGTCCAATCTGCACAGGTTAATTGACGGTGAAGATTGGACTCACCTGCTTCAGTGGCTGGGTAGAACAAATACATGACATGGAGATGACTTGTTGACTCCACATTGCCCATGTCTGATGCAGAGAATTAATTTCGTTGCTCTGTACTTGTGACAGTGGAATGACAATATAGTTGAATTCTATTCTTCATTTGTTTGCTAAAGACTGAGAAGTTTTTCTGTAATTCCTCATTTATAACTCATCTTGTATTGCATAAGCCGTATCCTAGGTCAGTTACTTCTTACCTCTAAATAAAGTTGTGCTGTAAAATTGCAACAATGGTTTGTACTGCTGCATTTGTATTTGCGACAAAACATTTTTCTCTGCCTTCTCTGCTAGGCTGAGCAGGACAACGGTCATCCCCTGCCAGCGTTTGCCAATCTTCAAATCGAAGTTCTGGATGAAAACAACCAGGCACCCTATTTCTTGGAGTCTGGTTATCATGGATACATCAGCGAGGCATCACCAATAGGGACCACTGTTTCTACCAATGTCAGCCTATCAAATCCCCTCACTATAATAGCGTTGGATAATGACGTAGAGGAGGTAAGCTCAGATGTAGCCCATGCTATATATATTTTATTATCTTTACTTTTATCACTTTTTGACAAACTTATAGTGTTATACCAATCCATTTTATGTAGTGTTGCATACTGTATGTGTTTTCACCCATTAACCTTTCTTTCATTTCATCTTGATGTAGTAGTTGATGAGTTAGTTTTCTGAATGGGTTCTAATTTATTAAATGTTTCAACTCTTAAAAGGAACATTTTTGTCTGAGGAGTTACAGATAAACGCAGTCTTAACGGTAGTACATTTTCCATTGTGGCTCAACCAGGTAATTGTGACAGGGAGAGGTAAGGATATTCACATCCTAGATAGTGTGTGGGGCAAAAAGTATTCAACTATTCACCCTACTTAAATAAACAGAGATCGATAAATTTCACTAAGTCGGCACTTAATCATATCTTTGCAAAAAGAGAACAGTTCATCATACATCCCTTATGGTACAGTATTTAGCCCCTTTCAGCCCTGGACAGGGTTAGTTCCCCATTACTTACAACAATGGAAGGTAGTCAGAGTCAAAACAAATTACAGATACTTTGGTTAACAGTAACATGTTATGAAAAAACCCTGAGAAACATTCTGGCTTGTTTTTGGAAGAAGCTACTGTATGTCTGGTCTACAAACACCATCAGTGAAAAATTTTATAGTGAGTAAATAGGATAAATTAATATATGAAATAAGAGAAATCTAAATTTGTTCAGACACCAATAGAAATGAACAACAGTTTGAGAGATGAGTAAAGAAAGCTATTTTTGTTAATAGAAACAGTCCATCTTTAAAAAGTGGTGAAGGCCTTAGGGTCCCGCTGTCTCCCTCTTACGAAGCTATTATTGCGAGTATGACTCAGCCCTCTGGGAACTATAAGCAGTTATTAGAGTGCTAACAATCAGTTATCAGGCTCTTGGCCCTTGTTTGGATGTGAGCAACCATTTTTGACTGTCACCATCAACTTGTTGATCCACTATGCAAACTTACATGGCTGAGTTTATCTGTAACTACTCAGTCTAAAGAAATTCCTCTAAGAGGTGAAACATTTTGATAGATTAGAACCCATTCAGAAAGCTAACTGGAAGAGAGCAAACCTTAATAAAGAAGAACCCATTTAGAAGACCTTGTTAACTTCTTTGAATTTCTTTGTTATGTTCCAAAACAAACAGAATTATGATTTTATGTGATAGACCATACAATCTGAATAAAAAAGACTAGACTCTTGTGGTATTAAGGATATGTAAACACGTTATGGTTCATAATACATAAAAGGTGGTGTAGTATTTTTTTTTTAATAGTAACTCATACAGTTTGTTTTTTATGCTTTTATTGTAGCTGAAACCTGGTCAGATGCCTGTAGGTATTTTTCTGGGTGGTGTGTGGACCTCTGTCCTTCTATAAGCAAATTCTCTGAATCTTCAATATGCATCATTAACAAGGGCTCCAGCTTCAACACCAAACACCTAAAATATAAAAAATAAAATGTAAATGTGTATCTGCTATTATAGCAGCTTTAATATTAAAGTTGAATGATTCACATTAATAAGAATACAGTGGCTGATCTTTCTTAGAGATGGAGCCACCATAAGATTCAAACCTAACAATTATATGTCCTAATATTCTCAAATGGAACAGATAAAAAACTAAAACTTTTTATGTTAGGTAACAAAGATCAACAGCTAATTCCAGCTCACAAGTCATTATAGTATAATAAGGTGATCTAAACCGGCAGATGCCATGGGACATCCTCACCATTTTAACTCTTTGTGCTTTAGGTTTCAAACCAATCATGCATCAATTAATACCTCCAAAAGGAAATATTTGCACCATTTTTAAACTGCTGAAGTGATGAGGTAAAGGTAATTTAGTATAATAGTTTTAAATATTTCATAAATTTTCGTTACCCAGATGCAGAGTGAAGAAAAATTAACCATTTTGAGATTTTTCAACTCAGACATCAAACTGCAAATGTCAATTGCCAGTCTTCTTTAAGATTCTGAGTGACTTCAGTCCTACACACCTGAATAAAAGGCAGGATTACCTTCTCCTGCAACCCCAGAGAACAATCCTGTGAATATGGTGTTCTTCATGCTTGGGTGATGGTTGTTGTTATTCAAAAATATGCATGGTGGAATCCTGCCCAAAACTCAAATTTGGCTTAGCAGAGTTTAACTAATTTTTGGGGACATTTCATCCAGGCCTGGAAATTTTACTTAGGAACAAACACTTCTGTCTTTCAGCTGCATTGTTATTAAACATAAAGGATACCAGAGATTGTTTTTCACATATAGAATACAACCAGTCATCAAAACAATAAAAATAAATAAATAAAAAAGCAGGTAGCCTCTTCACATTTAATGACTGCCTCTTCCAAGCTTTGTCTATACAATAACTCAGAATAAATTGTTAGTTTGCACATGTTGCTCGAAAACAAGATTGGTTGTCTTCATTCAAGCAGCATTTATTAATCCTTACAAGTGACAGCAGATATATTTTTTTGCCAATGTTTCTGTTCTGGTCAAACAAACAATTGAACTAACTACTTAGCATTCAAATGAACAGCTGAGAGATATTTGCATGCAACTTCACCAAAACAAGTTACAGACAGTTTGGAACAAGTATAGGGATGTTGAATAACCTTAAATCTATAGGAGTCTGGCTACTTTTAAAACAACATCTCACACTGGAAAACAGCTTCGCAGTAAGATAAGCCTTGAGGTTGAGCCTTGTCAAGCTAGTGTGCAGTTTGAGTGAATAGTTTTTGCAATATAGATAAAAAAAACAAGCTCACATTCAGGTTTTAACATGGAGAACAAGGAATAGATGGGAAAATAAAATTTCCCACCACATACTACAATCATATAAATTATCTAGTATTACATTTTGTTACCCTCTCCTTACTACCTTCTGTGTAAAGAGATCTTTATGATTATTTGTAAATTTCTACAATAACTATGGCTTTAACTGAAACATACACATATAAAATAGTGAGGAAAAATGCAAAAGAAAAAAGCTTTTTTTCATTTTAACCAGAGCTAAATCATATTTGTTGGGATTTCAAAAAGATTTGGTGGTCAAAATGTATTAGATGGTGCAATTTTTTGTTTGTCGGTATAAACACTCAAAAACAAGCATGTGCATTTTTGTTAATTAATTTTATTGACAGTAAACAATACATTATACCTGACAATGTTAAAATATTTATTGAGGTCTCTATGTTTCCGTCACAAAAACTTCATGTTATGGCATTGATCTGTACTCTTGGAGAGTCAATGTAGGTATCTAAAGAAGGTATAAATTAGTAAAGGAAAGAAGTGACCTGCAAACAGATTATCAATAGCACTAGACAAAGCATAAGGTATAGCATAGTTTATAAAGTGTGAAATCCTGCAGTTGAGGTAGATTGGATCTATAGTAAGAATATTAATAATACATTTCTGATTGTTTTATTTGTTTTTAAGCTCTTTTGCTCTTTACTTTGTTTATAACTCAAAACTAAATTATTCTATTGATTAATAGTACATACTAGCAAAAGCGTGAATATACATCAACACATTCACAGCCTTTACCCACACCATAGCGGAATGAGAAGGACTGCCATATTTTGGTGCCCACGTCTGTCCTTTTTTTCTTTCCACTGATTCTCTGCTTTGTGCTTTGCTTGCAGTGTTTGAAGTGCCCTATCTAAAGTGGCTGTGAATCTGACAGTAAAACCATTTGGCTCTTTATATTACCTCGCAGTAATAATTAGGATTTTACAGTGCTGCAATATTGTTATCACTGATGCATCCCCAACAGCTGAGTTTGTTTAAGATATAGCAAAGACATTTTGACAAAAAACAGGCTTTGGTTCATTGCTTTCTAAAGGTCTACCCTCGAGCAGGGATTGTGGTTTAGGGAGGATAATGTGTTTGGGTGGGGATTTAGTTTAAGGCGGGTTGATAAACATTTGGTTATTTTTAATAACCGGATCTCTTCCTCAGCAAGAGGCACCAACAGTGATGATTAGTCCTAATGGCTTTTATGTACTGTCTATCATTTTTATTTATGGCTATAAATGCAAATGTAGGTTCTTCTCTGTTTCTGGCTGTTTGTGTGTGGGTGTGTGTGCGCTTGTGAGTGTTGTTGCTTATTTATGGCTCAATATCCACAGCAGCAACATCGACAAGATTATCAGGCCCCCTACCCTGCTGAGCTAGCCTTATCTGGAATGAGAAGTGCTCTCTCGTCCTTTCTCCCTAACACAGACCCCACCCCCCACCCAACCCTCCACACACACACACAGACCAGAGATGGCTATTTGCTAGAGCAGGCCCTAGATGAAAAATGCCTCTTCATCACTGGGTGGTTTGTATTTGTAGACATCAATGGGCATTTACAATTTGTTGTTTCAACAGAACTTTTCTTTATATTCTGAATTTTCTTACTCACTTTATTACTTTACACATATTTAAGGTTCCTGCAGGTCTTTTTGATTTGGTTGGGAAGTATAGGAAACATTCATTGTAGTGTGAAGCCTAAAGCACTGACCCCAGTCTGTAGGGCTCATATTATTAGTTTTCCTTTAATCTAGGTGAAGTGTAATACTTAAAGTAACTTGGTACTAGTTAGTAAGACAGAGCTCACTTTGACCTTGTGCCAAAATTACATTACACCCTAAATAATCTAGAATATTATGAATATTCCTTTAACTTCTCTTGGGCATTCATCCATCCATTTTCTGACACACTTATCCCTGCTGGGGTCGTGAGGGGTGCTGGTGCCTATCTCCAACTGTCAATGGGCGAGAGGGGACAGGCCGGCAGTCTATCGCAGGGCCACACAGAGATAAACAGGACAAACAACCATTCACACACACACACACATGTTGTGTCACAATATCCTTGTGGGGACTTTCCATTGACTTCCATTCATTTCCCACTAATTTATATGGCCTAACCGTGACCCTTGCCCTAACCCTAACCATTACCGACACATACCTATCCCTAAACCTAACCTAAACTCAATTCACACCTTAGTCCTAAACCTAACCCCCACCCCAAGAAGAGAAACTTTCCTTATGGGGACCAGATGTTGGTCCCCACAAGTACCTATGAGTCCCCAAAATGTAGCATATTCCTAGGAAATTGTCCCCACCAGGTATTAAAGACATGGCCACACGCACACACACCCACACACACGCACACACACTCAAATCTAAGGTGAATTTAGAGAAGCCAGTGGACCTAATAGTCATGCATTTGGAATGTGGGAGGAAGCCGGAGTACCCGGAGAGAACACATGCATGCCCAGGGAGACCATGCAAACTCCACGCAAAAACACTCTGGGCCGGAAATCAAACCCAGAACCTTCTTGCTGAAAGGCAGCAGCTCTACCCTCTGCAGCTCTTGGGCATCTACTGATTTAAAATATTTCCATATGATTTCCACATTATGAAATTCAAATTGTGTAAAGTTATTCTTTTTGTCTTTGACAGACCCGGGATCCACAGTTGCACTTTTCTCTGGACAGTTATTCTCACATATTCTCTGTGTCAACCACTGGGATCAGAAGATATCTCACTCTGTTGCAGCCCGTAGACAGAGAAACACAAGACTCCTACACATTTACGGTAATGTACTGGCTTGACATTTGTGTGCATCAATATTAACAGGGGGAAAACAACTTGCCCAAGTGAAAAGAAGGGAGACTAAACTTGAAGTGGAGAAAAGGCTGTTTTATCTGAAAGAATGTGAGAACTACAGTAGAAGGAAAATGCACAGCATTAGAAATACAAAAGTGGGTGGATAAAGAGGATAAGCATTTTACAAGCTACTAAAGGCAGAGTTGCAAAACAATAATGCGAACAAAAACATTATAATACAAGCATGGTAAAGAGGGAGGTTATACAAAGCACAAGCAGTCAATTTAACATGGAGGGAGGAATGACAGAAGATTACAAGAAACAAAAAAGTAAAAAACTGGATTAACTCTGAATTTGTTTTTTATATAAGCATAATCCAGAGTATATTCATCCCTTAAGTTTTTATGTATTCATAGTGTAATGAGAACACAACACTGGTGTATTTATTCTGGCTATTATTTTTTTTATTTACCATAAAAGTTAGTTTTCAGCAACTAGGCTGAGTAAGGAATTAGGTTGCATTACAGCAGCATCCTCTTTGTGACTGAATGAGTAGATGCCACTATGTTGCACATACCCCAGAAACAAACCACTTAATTGTGTAATTGTCTAATAAATATTTCAAATAAAACATGTCTGCTACTAAGCTTAAACTTTGGACTAGGTCTTGACCAATAGTCTCAAACTTCAACCATGGAAGGGCATCATCTTCTGCTTTTTGGATATGTCTCCGCCTCAACAAACCTGACTGTATAGCAGTATTAGCTCATTGGCAGTGATCTCTATAGTTTATTTGGCATAGTACTTAAAGTAGGTACAGGTCTACATTTTTTGTAATCTTTTTTGCGAACCCCACAAACAAAAGCTTAGACGTTTCCTGTTGAAGTGCATATGAAATACAAATGGCCAAATCAGTCACATTTCTTTCTTCTGACTTTTAATTTATTGCCCAACTGTGTCTCAAACTAATACAGCATCTCTATAAAATTAAGAACAGAAAACTCATCTTTAATTTGATCTTAGCGTATTTATTTTAAAAGTATTTATTTTAAATGAAATGCATGAAAAGTTTCATTATGACATTTTTGATGTTGGATTTTTTTAAAGTGTATGAATAGTCAATAGCATACCCTATAAAAGTAATGTTTTTAGTTTGATGGGATGGAATAGACTTTACCAGATTATAATTCCGGGTAAATTAGCTTTCACAGACTAAGTACTAGGACAAAGATGGTAATTAAGGAATAGTTTTATATAAAAAAAAAAGTGAAAAATAAATGTTAATAAATGACCATGCAGTCATCACTGAAACATTTAATGACTGACATTAAGTGTTGTGGGAGGTGTTGGGGTGGTGTGCTACACCAAGTTGTTCAAATGAACAACTTTTGCTACCATGCAGCTGTCTGAGTACCAGTAAATGTAAAATGTTCAAACTTTTATTTGTAAATTCACACTCATACAGGTCAATTTAATGCAATACAAGCTTAAATCAGAGCCAACCAGACTTTTGCTTAGTTTTTTTGAAGATGTTTTAACACCTGTCCAGGAGTCTATGTCAATTATGTTGGCTCACGCTAGACCACTTTGTAGTTGGAAGGTAGATGATGATTTGGATGATTTTAAGCACCATAGAGGCCAATCTTCTTAACCAAATTCTAAGTCAGATGCAAATCAAAGAGCAACCCATCATACTAGGTTATTGCCATTTTAATCATGATGAGTTTGCTTGTTATTTATTTGGAATGAGTTTGAGGACCGACATTGTGGATGCTTGGAAGCTGACACTGCAATCCTCACCACTGTTCTGTGATGAATTTCTCTTTTTAAGAAAGATGACTTCCCTCATCTCTCTTTCAAACCATCTGTCCTCTCTGTCCAAAATCTGAACATTTTAGTCATCAAAGGTGTATCCATCATTCTCGCCTGTATAAATTGTAGTATCATAAATTTAGCATTTCATCAGATTATGCAAAGCCAACGACCTAACATTAAAAATCACACAATAAAACAAGATATGATTAGGTATTTACTAAAGTCTTTTTGATTTCTATAAGCAGGTTTACCACAATAGTAGATGCAAAGTCTGAAATTATGGCTTTTAGTTTCAGTGTCCCATCCCAAGATTTTAAGTGGCCCTATTTGGCCACCCCTCCGAAACATTTCTGGAGGTCCCACTGATCGTTCTTGAGGTGCAAGTGTGAAGCTAAACCTTGCCCAGGGCTACTGGCTCTCCCGTAGACCGTACATATTTAAATGTTTCTTTACAATTACTTTCCACTCTCCGGTGATAAACAGGGTTAATCACACCAAGCAATGTATTAATGTAACAAGGTGTGAGAAATCCGCACTGATTGCTGTAAACATTTAAATACTGCCAAAGCGCCTGTGAGTAATGTATGAATTAACCATGCTAAAGGCTTTGTAACTTAAAGAGTTTGAAGGGAATGTGTGTTCAAAGATTAATGATGTTTCCTGACCTAGGATGGTAACTGGTTTATTAGCTGATTACACATCATAGAGTATTGCTCTGGGATCTATATGCTGAATTTGGTCCAGTACTGACTGAGCCACTGGAGCATCCCCGTTCATCACAGGTCTTAAACAAGAAGAGGTCATTGCGCATAATGCTAATGTAGGAAAAAAGGAAAAGTAACTGGGTAAAGATTTGTAAAGAAACACAAATAAATATATATAATCATAAATAATCTGCTGTACATAGGTAACATTTTAATATTTCGCTGAGTTACAGGTATAAATAATGTACTGTAAATGTTTAATTCAAATGAAAAAAACAGACAGGTAATTTATTAAAGATCCATGATAAGAGACCTCTGAAATGAATGAGCTGATATTATGAAACACAACCGCTTTTACCCATATTAAATCTTATACAAAGGTGCCTTGCGTTCTTAAATAATATTTTTTGTTGTTGTTTTGTTTTAAATTAAATAAACCTGTTAACCACTCTGTGGTTCCTGTTGGTTTTTACCTGTGTGAATAGGTGTTAAACATAATAAACAATAAATTGACTTTCTGCCTAAAGCAAGTTTAGGAATATATGTGTGAATTTATCCTTAAATGTGAAATATCACAGCCAACATTGTCCTTGTCAACATGATCAAGCCTCCCATCAGACTCTAAAATGTGTCATTAAAAATTGGCAAATGTTCTGTGCATGGAAGTGTTTAAGAATTTTCTGAAAGTTATTTTTTATATTTTGAAACCTATCATTTAAGGCAAAAACATAACTTTTGTACTTTAGTATGATGTGTAACCTGTACTTTTTACTTTTCCTTCAGTAAATGAGTTTGATCCATACTTTACTAGAATCTTTGTTCACAAAGTGTTTGTACTTTTAAATAAGTAGCCTACAGATTGAGAGTATTTGACTTCTCTTCCTTCAAATAACTTTATTCTAAAAGTATTGTAGGATTACCAAGCTATAATCTTAAATAAAGATGTGGTAGGAACTAACATGTGCCTTTTGGTTTTGATGGGGACTTTTTGTGCAAGGTGGTGAAGTTACATTGCTAAACAAATAGTGAGACATGTTGCTTATTTAAATTCCTCTGCACTGAAAAAAGAAATTTGACAGTTGGTGCTCTGCTGCAAATATCCCCTGCTCTTCCAAAATCTAAAGAAGTGCATCCTTGGAGGATATCATTATTGAGCCCAATAGCAATTTACAATAATATTTATGGTAGTCATCTACACTGTAATATCATTATGTAACATGACCATGTATCTGTTTTGGAAAAGACTTTTTCCAAACAGACTGTTTGATCAATGCAAGATAACAATAATAATAAGCTATCTTCTTTAGGAATGTTATGGAGGCACCAACATTGGCCATATATTAAAAGAGCTCCATTTTAAATAATAACAACTATCCCTTTAACCCAGTCATACAGTAATAAAACTGTTGTTAAAACAGGAAAGTGGGACCTTTTTGCCTAAAATTTAACAGTTTGACTCCTCTATAAGGAGAAAATGCTGCACAAGCCTTCCCTTCACACTTAATTTGTTTGTTAGTTTTGTCTTTATCATTAAATATTTTACTGCTTTCTTCCAGTCAAGACTGCTTTTTACAAGGCAAAATATCTTAATATGTGGGCATCATCACATAATATAAAGAGATTATTCTTTATAAAGCTGTAATCCACCGATTCCAGCATGAGAACAGAGATGACGTGTATTTTGTGTTAAGTTGTGAAGCCAAATATATGACTTAAGGTGCCCTTGAGTGTGCATTCAGTTATTTGGATGTTAAAGATGGAAAAGCAGACAGTCTGGAGTATTGATTAAATGTAAGAGGTATACAGTAATCATTCTGAAAGCCTTGGAGAAGAAGTTAAACTCAGACAGAAAGAAACAGTGTGCCATGAGACATAGGGTGCAATTTTCATCAAAGACTACTTTATCAACTTCTTGGCAGATGAACTTGTGAAGGAGATTGTTGTTGATAAAGATTTTGTTGTTGTTGATATTTGCTTATAGTGATTCATAAAACAAGGAAAAAATATATGTCTGAAGAAAAAAGGATTAGGATAAGTAGATACAAAGGAATATGGTTTTCAAAAGCAGCCTGAATTAACAAACATTTACCCACAATCTAATTTTACTATGTAGTCTTTGACACACTGGACTTTGATTATATTTGGTTCTTCAATTTTGGAAAAAGTTCCATTATTACTTATTGTTGCTTTAACAATAGCCTAAGCAGATGAGTGTATAGAAGGGTTTAATGTTGCAGCTCTTGGAGAAAAATTACTGTTAAGCCTAAAATGATTCATTAAGGATTTAGATTCAAAGTGATACTTTAACTTTAATACTATGGGTTTCAAGTTAAGATATTACCTCCCCAAGGTCTTGATCTATTTGAGGTTAGCAGTACAAAGAGAAAGCCACTTCTCTGGGTAAACGTCTGTGCATAATCTGCAATAGCCAATTAGGTGGCAAGGACTGAGTTCTCTCTGGCCAAGAAATTTTAAACTTTACAAGTAATCAAATGCAAAGAAGTCAAGGCAAGTCCATAACTGCATTGCTTTTAATACAGTAAAGCAACCTCTCGATGTTAAGCATCTGGCTAATCAAACAAATCACAAACATTACAAGCTCTGCTCTGCACCAAGTGTTAATAGAGAGCAGTCATAACTCAGATTAAAGCCAAGGCAATGAAGGGAGGTTTTATTAGAGAGAAGTCATTTTCCTGGTATTGCAGTGTATGTGGAAGTGGTGTATGTACGTTTTTGAAAAAAGCCTAAAGGGCTCACCTTTACATAAATCAGTAATCAATTTCCAACTGAGAGGGCAAAAGTGCTGATATTTTTGTAAAAATAGAAGTGACAGTGAACAGCAATCGCTGTCGCTTGGAAACAGAAAACATTATTTTTTACTGGTTTTCACTTGAAGCCATTTTGAACAACCATCCAATATGAGAGAGTCCAAACCACACGCTGAAAGACTCTGTATAATGAACCAGGGAGGCATACAGACACATCAAACGATGTGTAAATAATGGAAACCCAATCTGGTTTTAAAAGATAACCTCCCCCCGTCACTCTTTGGTTGTGCCATGCACTTCCAGACCTATAATGAATGGACTCTGGCCCCCTAAAATATTAAATTAAACATGTAGGTGGCTATCATTGTCCATGCTGTGTATTTTTAAGACAGAATAAAGCAGGTTTTTTTTTTTTTAAGTCGGAGACTTTCTAGATTATTAGAACGAAAAAATAAAAACCAAACAAACCAAAATGAATCAAATTACAACCTCCCCCCACCACACATACACACACACCAACACACACACGTATTAGATGGAAACCATGAGAGAAAAAATTGATTTTACAAACACTCCTTCTGATACTTTTTGCATTGATCTTTTTCTCTTGTGTTTCTACCTCCACAGCTGTTAGCATCAGATGGTGTACAGCAGAGTTCTCCTGTAACAGTGACCATAACAGTGCTGGATGCCAATGACAATACTCCAACTTTTTCCAATGTCTCCTATAGTGTGAACCTGTTTACTGACATGTTGCCTGGAGAAATGGTTATACAGGTATATGCAAGTTATTAGCACAGATATTTAAATGTTGGCTCATACAGATCATAAAAATGTATCTATGGTTGGTTTTATCTTTGTAGATGGCGGCGGTTGATTCCGATGCAAATGAAAATGGTCAAGTCACCTATCGCATCTTGGCTGGTGATCAGGGACGATTCCTAATAGACAGCAGGTAAACTGATCAGAGGGGATTCACTACAGCCTTAATGTTTTGTTTTTTTCTGTAGGAGAAATTTAACGTTTTATGTGCTGTTTTCAAGTTTTTTATTTGGTGCTCATATATTACGTACTCAATGACAACACTGTACAAGCCCCTTATAGCAATATTGTTTTAATAACAAAATAATTATTTATCTGACAATATCCTACTCAACTGAATACAGCATAAGCTGAAAATTAAAAAAGTGACTTATTGTTGCATGTTAATATTTTATTAACACTAAAACCAAATCTAATATTTAAAACTTGAGGACTTTGAGGTGTTAGTCTCTCATAATGGTGAAAGCAATGTCCTGAAGAAAAGACCTCAATGGGAAACAGAGAATTGTTGCTTACAAACTATCTGGGAAGGGTCCGCTTACCAGGGGTCTGCTGAAAAAGTTTGCACACAAGTAGAAAACAAACAAGGAGATAAATAATTTACTCTTTCTGTCTTATTGCCCATGCACTCTAAGGAATGATTTTGGTTGTAACTATGATACATGAAATTCATTTAAAAATAACCAGGTTAGGTAGCAAATAAAATAGATTATAATGGATAAATTCAACTTTTTTGTTAAAGGTAGCAAATGGAGAAAACATTGTGATTTTTAAACTTAGTTCCTTAAATCTAACTGGATTTAAACTGTCATAGTAACATTTTATTTTGTTCAACAAAGCCAGGAATTTTTAATTTAAATTAATTGTGCAGCCCTGTTGTATAATAGTATGAGTAACTGTTGAGATCAGAGAAGAAACCTTGACCATGGTATAGTTTATAACACTGCCCTCTTGGAACATTGAGATCATGGTCTCAATACCAGGCTGACGACTTTCTATAATGACAACTTTTCTAGTCGATATCGCCTTATTTCTCTTGGTGCTTCATTTATTTTTAAATCAAGGGTACACTTTAGTTATAAATTAGATTAAATGTATTCAGCCAAACTTATTGCAAATTGTTACTTTTGCTTTTTTGGTATAAATTCTAGGTTATTTTATTATCTGCTCATTGTGTTAAATGTATGTGTTTCCACTGTCATGCAAAATATTCACAATACCATCTAATTATTTCTCAATTTCTTTTCTTTTTTTACATATGACTTTAGTGCAGAAATGTCCAAGATTAATAAACCAAGAATTGGGTTGCTATGGCAAATTACTTCTGCTATACTGCTATTTAATATGCATGAGCAAAGATTATGTGTATAAACAAAAATAATGATTAAAAACTAAATTTATTTTAGCAGTTACATTTAAGGTAACATTAGTATGTAGTATATCGGAGATTACTAAGGTTAACTGATGTAATCAATAGATCATTGACCTGTGTGGTTGGAAAATTTTGATTTCTCTTGTCTCATTTATTTAATTATGCTATTATCCAGTAAAAAACAACCTGCCAGCAGAGTGAGATCCTAAGCTGCTAAAAATATGAATCTCAATAAGTCATTTTCTTCTTAAAATAAGTGCAATTTTTCTTGAATTAAGGAGGTAAGTGAGATACTTTGCTAATGGAACAAGACAATTTACATTTGAAATGAGAGAAAACAATTGAACTGTCTTATTTCAAGTGCATAATATCTAATTGTCTTCTTTTAAGAGTAAAAATATTCATTCCATGTGCAAATCATCATATTTACCTGCTCAAATAAAGAGTAAATACGCTTAATTTAAGACATTTTTACTCATTTTTAGATATTTTTTGTAGTGTAATGGAGGAATTAATCAGAACGAGCTTAAAGTTTAAATAATGCTGTATTTATTCATATATATGGGGAGAAGCAGGTGCATACCAACAAAAAAAAAAACACAGACTTAAAAAACAATTAAAATAATTTTACTTTTTAACAGGTTGATGGAGACAAGTGGCTACACCCTGTGCTCTAAAGAGGGACCACACAGAAGTATCCTGGCTGGGCTATAACTGTCATTTTCCTTTTATCAGGCTATTCTTTAAACATAAACCAAGTCAGAAGAGTTATATGTCGGCTAAGGAAAAAAGTAACTGAAGTGTTCTGCTTAGTATTCCCTATTGCAGTCCTCATTTATCAATGGGTTTAGTTGCAGTTAGTCGTGTGTGACCTCTCTAACAAACACTTTATATACTGTAGAGAGAAAAAAACTTTGATGAAAAAAAAAAACTAGGAAAAAAAATGTTTAAGACCTCATAAACCCAAAACATTAAAAGCCTAATACCGTTATAGTGCCATAAATGCTGCTTTAGCTTCTTTGGATAACCACCAGAAGCTGCATTGCTTTCCTCTGCTTTTACGGACTTCAAATGTCTATCTAGAAGGAAGGTGGTGAAAATCGACACATAAGGAATGGAAGTAATAATTCAACATAGAGCTTATGTATCCTCTGCAAATATTTGGTATATGTAAACTACAACCAGTCAACCTTTCTGATCACTTCAGTGTTTATATTTTTTTGGTTTAAAGTCCTTTTATCAGAGTAAAGTACATTTTACATTCTGTATGAAATTTAAGCCATATAGGCTGGAGGAAGAGGAGGATCATTCAGATTGCTTAAGGTCCAGTAAGATGTTTCACCAGTCAGAGATCATTTGGGGAACCGTTTAATCTGCTGGTATTGCCCCCCTATCAGGCCAAGTCAAGTCTACCTGGAGATTTTAACACACCTAATGCTTCAAAACGCTTTATGGATATGCTGATTTCATTTCCAGCAGGACATGCACCTGCCCAAACTGCAAAGTAGTCTAATATTTGCTAGCAAACCTGCTTGACGTAAACCCTTCTGATAATCAATGGAGCATTCTCGAGAGAAACACGACCCATCAATACAGACGAGCTAAAAGGCATCTCTTTAAGAAAGCTGAGAATTCTTAACATTTTTGAAGTGCTGCAGATTGATCAGCACCATGTGATACACCGTTAACGCAGTAATTACATGAAACATATCCTTTTGTCTGTGTTAAATCTATTCACATATGTATGCATTCACACATATGCGTTCTTTTTTTTTTCAAATATAATAACAGAAATATTTTACATTCTCAGTTATGTTCTAACAAAGTGATATAATATAGGATTCTGAGCTTAATGAAACTGTATTTATGATCATTATTGTCCTAAGACTAAATGACTGCTAATGAGATAACAGGTGGTAAATGGTATGCCATAAAAAAGTCAAGGAATGCATAATGTAATGTGAAAGCATTTGGCATGTTAATAATACATATTTAATCATTGTTTTCACAGTACTGGGGTAATTACAGTGGCACCAGGTGCTGAGCTGACTGTTGGCCGAAGCTACGCTTTGACTGTGGAAGCTGTAGACAATGGGCCTGTGCCTCACAGAAGGTAGGGGGGTTTCTCTTGTTCTGCTTCTTGCTCTTTTCCTGTGTTTGTGTGGAGCTGCGGCATAAAAGGTCAGATCTTTACAGCCTTCACACTCATTGTCTGATTCTTCTCCACTTCGCCGCTGGCTCCCTTTTTCATTTTTTAATCCATATCAGTCTCCACATTTAATCACTGATTTAATGCAAATCATTTTAAATGTACTTTAACTTATATATTTTTTAGGAAATGTTTGTCTGGAAGGCAGAGTAAAAGAGTGAAAAGAAATGTCACAAGCATAGCAATCAAATAAGCCTGAGAGAATGAAGGCCAGGAAAAGGATGCTATAAATACCGGATAGCATTGCTTCTAACAAAAGAAAATTGGCTTCTCTTTTTTTCCCCCCCAAAAAATGAAAATGTCAACAAATGGAAAAAAAAATACGTTCAAAGAAATGTTATTGTTCTCTTCAAGAACTAAGTTAATAAAGTGTAGTGGCTTTTGCAACTCTCCACTACAGCCTTTTCCCTAAAACCTTTTCTAATCTTCCAGACAAGGCGTATTATTAGACTGTGTCATAAACTTGTTGTGTATCGATTTGAGCAACATTTCAAATTTGACATTTTGTTTTTTGCAATCAACAAGCAGAGTTTAAAAAGTCAATTAATAGATTGTCCTCTAGAATTAAGTCAAGCCACACAGGTACACAAAATAATTTGTAGCAATTACTCTAACAGATGCTTTGGGCACCCCTATTAATCTTAATTATTTTTATCTCTAAATATTTGGGTGTTTGCAACAGCTATTTCAGTTTGATATATCTAATTACTGATGGACACATTAATATTGCAGTATTGAATTGAGGTTTATTGGACTAACAGAAAATGTGCAATATGCATTAAAACAAAACTTGAGAGGTGCAAGAATTTGGGTACCCTAATAATTTTATTCATTAGCTACTTTTCACTGACTTACTGAAACACAAAATTGGTTTGTGTTCATTTAGATTTGAACTTCATTTAGATTTGAACTTCATAGCCAGGTGTATCCAATCATGAGAAATTGTATTTAAGGTGGCAAGTTGCAAGTTGTTCTCCTGTTTGAATCTCCTCTGAAGATTCATCATGGGCACCGCAAAACAACTCTCAAATGATCTGAAAACAAAGATCGTTCAATGTAGTCGTTCAAGGGAAGGATACAAAAAGTTCAGAGAGTTCTCAGAGATTGAAACTGTCAGTTTCCACTGTGAGGAACATGGTAAGGATAATTAGAAAACAACAGGGACAGTTCCTGTTAAGCCCAGAAGCGGCAGGCCAAGAAAAATATCAGAGAGGCAGAGAAGAAGAATGGTGAGAAAGGTCAAGCACAACCACAGACCACCTCCAAAGACCTGCAGCATCATCGTGCTGCAGATGGTGTCACTGTGCATCGTTCAACAATTCAGCACACTTTGCACCAGGAGAAGCTATATGGGAGAGCGATGCGACAGAAGCCTTTTTTTGCTGATGAAGGTTCTCAGTCATCCAGGTCATAGTCATTCCGTAAAAATTCAAAAAATATCCACTGGACTTGGTTTTCAAGATTTGAAGACGTTTCGCCACCTTTCCAGGAAGCTTTCTCAATTTCTAAATTGTTGGCTTAGCAATGACACTGTCAGGGAACTATGGACAGTGGAAACATGCAAAAGGAGTAGAGTTTTGTGTCAGAGGTCGTGGATGAGTTTCCTCCGTCATACATTTTTTATTTAGAGGAGGAAAGAGGGGACGAAGACGTCGTGGAAGAGGACGCCAGGGTGGCAGAAGCTTGGCTTACAGCCGTACATATTTGAGCCCTCGCCCTCGCCTCGCAACGCTGCCAGTTCTGTTAGCTCTACACCTGCCGAACACACAGACGTCCATCCCTGTGAACACTGGGACGGAACTCAATGGCAAAGCAAATGATTCTTATTTCAACCGTTGCGTATATTAGCTGCGACATATGAATCAAGATGCTATGACCGAAAAAATTTGATTGACAGACAACCGCTGATATATGATTGGCTGAATTTAGGTGTACAGGCTGACGTATAACTAACTGGCCTGCATAAGATAACGAACAAAAAAAAACTGACTGTAAGACAGTTTAAAATAGAAATTTTCTAAATTTTGGACAATATTGTCTGATAAAGCGTATATTTATATACATGTTTAAGCCAGAATGATTTGACATTTAAACATGATTTCCCTACGACTTTAAAGTCATCTAAATTACTAAAGTCATCTTCACAAAATATGTGCAATATTAGCATGAAGTTTTCCTGGAAAATTAGTCTGTTCCGTGCATGCTTAAATGCTTTCATCTGATCAAAAGTTTGGTACATGTGCACACGTCATGACTGGATCATTTTTTACCATGATCTGAAAGTTTGTTTAAAACCCTTATGAAGAATATCTGCATTATTTAACTATCCTAGATTAAATGTTTTAAAAGATGTTGAAAAATAAATAAACTTCAATCTTTATAACCTGAATTAGAGACACCATCTCACTCCATCTGCTCACCTTTTTGAAGGCCAGCTCCACGTTCTCCAGAGCTGGGTGCTTCTCCCATCCTCCGCTCTTTTCTCCAGAGNAGGTGGCGAAACGTCTTCAAATCTTGAAAACCAAGTCCAGTGGATATTTTTTGAATTTTTAGGGAAGCCTTTTTTTGCAATCACGCCACAAACATAATCGCTTGAGGTATGCAGAAGCACATTTGGATAAGCCAGCTTCATTTTGAAATAAGGTCCTGTGGAATGATGAAACAAAGACTGAGTTGTTCCAAGAAAAACACTTGCTAAATTTGGTGGAGGTTCCATCATGCTTTGGGGCTGTGTTGCCAGTGCTAGCATTGGGAATGTTGTTAAAGTTGAGGGTCACATGGATTCCACTCAATATCAGCAGATTCTTGAGAATAATGTTCAAGAATCAGTTACGAAGTTGAAGTAACGTCAGGGATGGATATTTCAGCAAGACAATGATCCAAAACACAGCTGCAAGTATACTCAGGCATTAATGCAGAGGAACAATTAAAATGTTCTGAAATGGCCATCCCAATCCCCAGACTTGAATATTATTGAACATCTGTGGGATGATTTGAAGCAGGCTGTCCATGCTCTGCGACCATCAAACTTAACTGAACTGGAATTGTTTTGCAAAGAAGAATGGTCAAAAATCCCTTATTCCAGGTTCCAGGAACTGATTAAAAGCTACTGGAAGCGACTAGAGGCTGTTGTTTTTGCAAAAGGAGGATCTACTAAATATTAATGTCTCTTTTTTCTGAGGTGCCCATATTTTTGCACCTGTCAAATTTTGTTTTACTGCATACTGCACATTTTCTGTTAGACGATAAACCTCAATTCATTACTGAAATATTACTGTGTCCATCAGTTGTTAGATATATCAAACTAAAATAGCTGTAACACTCAAATATTTAGAAATAAAATTAATTAAGAAAAAATAGGGATGCCCAAACTCAAAATTACTTTTTAATTTTATATATATATATATACAAAATTAAAAAGTAATTTTTAGAAGAGAATAAGGCTATTTTTTAAAGGTAAGTTTTATTTCACTAATGACACTGCAGCAACACATATTCTACTGTGAGTCAACAATGCTAAAACATCCAGCTGAAATAACCTTTTAGACTTATCTCAATTCAGAGGTTGTCAGCAGAATGTTTCTTTCTGATAATCAAATCACAGTTGTATTTAGCTTTATCTTTTTATTCAGGGAATGGCTTAACAAAAGCATAAATTAACAGTGTACTGTCCTTGAGATAGGAGAAAGGAGCTAAGTCCTTGCACCAAAGAGAGCAGAACAAAATCAGTAATCAGTTAAAAACACAGTGGAAAAATAATCAAGATCTGTTTTTTACTGAAACTATTTTAACAAAAGTCCAATTGAAGCCTTTTGTAGGTTCTCTGCCACACAAACAGCACTGAAGAGCCAACAAATTGCTGATTAGGAGAGTCTTGTTTGAATTTACTTTAATCATTTCTCCACACATTTAGAGTGCTAAATGATGATTTACACCATTTAACGTCAGGGAGAAGGAGCATATAAATCTTTGTTGGTACATACGGGGTAGTTTAAAGCGCTGTGTTTTAATTGCTTCTGAAGGGGTGCCCCCTTTCATTGTGGAATATCTTTACCAGCCAGTGTGTTTCAATTTTTTATATTTTGGGCCTCCACATCTTTAATGTGTGTATATATATATATATATATATATATATATATATATATATATATATATATATATATATATATATAATTTTAGGGGTGCAAAGTCTGTATGAAAATTCCAAGTCAAAAGTTGGAGAATAGTGGCTGTGATGCCAGTCACTGTTTATAAATTAGTGTGCTGTTTTGTATATTAATAAAACTTAATTACATATGTGTTTTTTCAGCCCAACTCTTAAAAAAACAACAAAAACAATAATTTGGTTGTAATACAGTCCCAAATTGTGAGATAAACCTAAAGTGGGTCTTTGCCATGGCCAATCGTCATCTATGACTGTGCTCCACAATAGCCTTTTGCTCCATGATACTGAAACCATCGTCCACCGCATCTTCTCCATTATCTCAGTTTTCATTTGGCTCCCTTCCTCCTCCGGCCTCCATTCCACCACTACTTTCAGGCCCCAGGGGGGAAGATGTACCTGTCTTAACTCATCTGCTCTATTAAAACATCATCATTCTCTATGCTTACGTATTCCACTGGGGTTTTAGCACCAAAGGCTATGTTTCTTATTTCAATCAATGTTTCTAATTTTTTAATATCTTCTGCGTGAGCCTTTCCAGGCTCTTATACCCCCAATTCTCATGACTCCAATTCCTCATAACCCTAAATTCAACCAAATTAACATCCACCTTTTAGGATACTATAGTTGAACCAAAATCATATTCTCTGTCTGGAGTGTGAAACATCTTATTTTTTTTGTTTTACATTTTCTGTTAAGCATTGTTAAAAATGCATACAGTTTCCCTAAAATCATAATAAAT